GTATATATATATATATATAATTATTGAAAAATAAAATACGAAAATTAAATTAGAAATAAAGAACAAAAAATTAAAAGAACGGACACCTTTATTGTTACATATTTTCTTCTTATTATATTATAATAAAAATAATCTATATATTTATAGGTAGTTATTAAAAAAAATAAAAAAATAAAGATACGAAAGAAACAAATAAAATAAAATATAATTGATATCATATATATTTTATTTTTAATTAATATACCATATTTTGTTTTTATTTTATAAATAATAACATGATTTTATCAAAGACCTAAGGGCAGACAGCCAATGCCAGCTCATCATCCACCTGTCTTGTGTCCCAAGCCCCAAAAGATTCCACATAATAAAATTTTAGTCATAAAATTGTTTTATTTTCCTTATTTTCGTTAATGTAATAAATCGGTTAAATTTTTTAATCCCCGTGGAGGTTACGCTCGCATCACCGTGGATTTTGTTCACGATTAACGTGGTATTACAATATTAATTGTATATTAATATAGGATCTGGGCTAGCAGTTTGGTATATTAATATACACAATTGGTTAAATATATATAACATTACGTAATAAATAAATATCTTATGGCAAGTGCTTCGGACCTTGGAAAGGGGAATTGCAAAAATAACCTCAATTGTCGATTTGACTTCAAGGAATGACACTGACTTAAAAAAAAACACATCATCACATAATCTTATAATTGTATCTTTCCAAAAATACCCTTTGTTTTTAATTTATTATTAAATTAAAAAATATATATTACAAATTTTTTTCCTCTCTCTTCTCTCTCTCCTCTCCCACCTCTCTCTCCCCTCTCCCACCTCTGTCGAACTACCGTTCTTCTGTGGTTTAGAGCCTTAATCTCCATTTTTTTTCAGCTAATTTATTGTGAAAAAATAACATTAAGTTCGGACATTTCATCGATTAAACACTGATCTGAATAAATGAAAGTATTGTTTATAAATTTCGTTATTAAATTTGAGCATTTGTAAGTATTTTTGTTTTGTTGTTTTCTCATCTTTATATTTGATCCATATGAATATGGGTTGAATAAAAAAATGATATATTTATCAGAAATACCATGATTCACGTTATTTAAACTGGTCGAAATCATTAAATTTGTGAAATTCATCAAAACGGGAGAATTCAGGAAACTGGTCATACATACGTATCGGAATGGTCAGACTGGTCATACTCCTAACTGGTCATACTTCTCAAACTCGTCAAACTGATCATACTTGCAAAACTGGTCATAAATTAAATCTAAACGATTTGAAAAGTTGTATAGGGGTTATAAGAATACTTTTGCATCGTTTTGAAGTTCTAATTTCACGTGGAAAAAAAATCTCTCAACATAAGCCAATTATACTCAATGTGTTACATAAACACTACTATTACTTTATCTCTTCTTTGGAAGGAGTTATATTGACAAACAAAAAATGTGTTCAATCCATATTGGTACGACCGATTTGAATTGAAATATTTGTGATATGATGTGATTATTATAATGTTAACACTTTTAAAACGATGAATTATGCAATTTCGAACAAGTCTGACCGTCTGACCAAGGTATGACCGTATGACTATATGACCGTTTGACCGTTTGACCATTTGGGTACGAAAAAAATGCTTAAATTAAATCTAAACGATTCAAAAGGTTGTATAGGGGTTATAAGATTATTTTGCATCGTTTTGGAGTTCTAATTTCACGTGGAAAAAAAAATCTCTCGACATAAGTCAATTGTACTCAATATGTTACATAAACACTACTATTACTTTAGGTCTTCTTTGGAAGGAGTTACATTGACAAACAAAAAATGTACTCAATCCACATTGGTACGACCGATTTGAACTTGAAATATTGGTGATATGATGTGATTATTACAATGTTAACACTTTTAAAATGATGAATTATGCAATTTCGAACAAGTCTTACCGTCTGACCAAGGTGACCATCTGACCGTCTGATCGTCTGACCATTCGGGTACGAAAAAAAAGACCTAAATTAAATTCAAACGATTAGAAAAGTTGTATAAGAGTCACAAGAATACTTTTTTATCGTTTTGGAGTTCTAATTTCATGTGGAAAAAAAATCTACCAACATAAGTCAATTGTATCCAATGTGTTACACAAACACTACTAGTAGTTTAGGTCTTCTTTGAAAAGAATTACTTTGACATCCAAAAAAGATGTTCAATCCATATTGCTGTGACTGATTTCAACTAGAAATCGGTCATACGATATGATTATTACGATGTTAACACTTTTCAATCGATGAATCTTGCAATGTCAAACAAGTCTGACCATCTGACCAATGTATGACCGTATGACCGTCTGACCATTTGGGTATGAAAAAAATGCCTAAATTAAATCTAAACGATTCAAAAAGTTGTATAGAGATTATAAGATTACTTTTGCATCGTTTTGGAGTTCTAATTTCACGTGGAAAAAAAAATCTTTCGACATAAATCAATTGTACTCAATTTGTTACGTAAACACTACTATTATTTTAGGTCTTCTTTAGAAGGAGATACATTGACAAACAAAAAATATACTCAATCCATATTGATACGACCGATTTGAACTTGAAATATTTGTAATATGATGTGATTATTACAATATTAACACTTTTAAAACGATGAATTCTGAAACTTCGAACAAGTCACACCGTCTGACCAAGGTATGACCGTATGACCGTCTGACCATTTGGGTACGAAAAAAATACCTAAATTAAATCTAAACGATTCGAAAAGTTGTATAGGGATTATAAAATTACTTTTGCATCGTTTTGGAGTTCTAATTTTACGTAGAAAAAAATCTTTCGACATAAATCAATTGTACTCAATGTGTTACATAACCACTACTATTACTTTAGGTCTCTTTGGAAGGAGTTGTTGATGACACCGCTGTTCTTGACACCATAAACAAAATCAGATCGGTTTGACCGATGTGATATTTCAATAGCCAAAATTTCTTTGAGGATTTTCATCAAACACTTTCCATGCATTCTCAAATTCCTCAACTTTGGTGTGTCGGATCTCGTTCTAGAGGAAAAGTTTGACGAATGTAAGCTTAAATGATATTGTTCCTTCGAATCGAATCGAAGTGAAACCCTAATAAGCCAAAAATTCAATATAAGAAGAATATGTTTGATCTACACTTTTAAATTCATAATTTCATCATTTTTGAAAAAGTCATACTAGTCTGACTCGTATAATCCTATGACGAGTCTAATGATATGATCAAAATATGATCGGTATGACCAAAGTCCGACCGTATGACCAAAGTCTGATCGTCTCATCAAAGTATCATCGGTTTGACCAAAGTTTAACCGTCTGACCGATTTTAAATTTAAAAAATGTGTTATATGAGATTATTATTATATCATATTAACACTTTTAAAATGATAAATTCATCAATTTTTAAGAAGTCTGACCGTCTGACCAAATTCTGACTGTATGTTTAATGTCTGACCGTCTTATCAAAGTGTGTTTGGTATGACCATTTTTTTACACGAAAAATAAAGGTCTAAATTAAGTTTAAACGATTCAAACAATTGTATAAGGAATACAAGAATACATTTCATCGTTTTGATGATCTAATTCCATGTATAGAAAAATCTCTTAACATAAGTCATATTCACTCAAAGTGTGACCGACTGACTAAATTGTGAACGTCTGACCAAAATCTAATCGGTATGACCAAAGTCTAACCGATATGACCAGTATGACGTTTTAAGAGCCAAAATTTTTCTGAGGATTTTTATCGAACACTTTTCATGCATTCTCAAATTCTTCAACTTTGAAATGTCAGATCTCGTCATAGTAGATAAATATGTCGAGTATAAGACGGAAATTGGAAAATTTGTTGTTAGAATCGCCAACGAAATCTCTTTGGAGAGAAAAAGAAAAAAATGTGTTTTGAATTTTTTTTAAAAAAAAGTGAGAGAGTAAATTTTTCAAATGTTTTTTTTCATTATATAAAGAGTTGTCACGTATTCAATTTTTTAAGGACAAACTAGTTTTTTCGTCATTTTAGTTTTTTTTTAAAAACCCTAAACCTAGAGGGTCATCCCTTGAAGTCAAGATAGATATTTGGGGTTATTTTTGTAATTTTGCCACTTAATGGACTGTTAGGCCCGTTTTACTGAAGCTTGTTTCATTTCATTCATAGTTCTCCAAGGGCTCTCAATATATAATTTTTGCTATAACAAAATTGAAGGCCCATGACCAAATCCCTATCAAAATAATTTTATTTATATATGAATCTCATGAGTGCATTCGTAATTTTTTTTTATTGATGTTAAAATTAAAATACTTATATGCAGAAATTTGTTGCTGTTGAAATATAAAATTATAATTGAAAAACCTAAGCATTTGATTGTTATTTTTTTTACTACAAAAGAAAAATATATTTACTTTCATTGATTTGGTTATGGACTTGTTTCAAATAATTTAATAGAAACAAAATTTTCAGTTTACACTGATAACAAAAACCCATATGGCACAATACATGTATATGTATATGGAGGGATAATAATCATTTCAAATTAGATTACAAGATCGACTCGGTAAGTTTTTGTTATTATAATTTATCAAAATTTTCATGTGCATGAATATATATAATATAAAGAGCACAGAACGATGGCTTCGCATGGTGTCACACCGTGGCCGTCATGCCCCATCACGCATATGTTGTCTCCCTTCTAATTTTATTTAACAGCTCACTTTCTTTATCATAATAATAGTAATTAATTCCCGGTTGAATTATTATAATTAGCTTTATATATTCGCCAACCATTCTCAATTTCGACTTTATGCTAAAAACATGAAGGAATAAATTATTAATGATTTAGCTGGCATTTAATTTTATTCATTCAAAGGAAAACGAGCTGCAAGCTGTAAATTAAATGTGTGTAATGTATATTAGATTTGACAGAGTCGACATCTATAAAATATTTATAAGTTGCATACATACATACATACATACATACATACATACATACATACATACATACATACATACATACATACATACATACATACATACATACATACATACATACATACATACATACATACATACATACATACATACATACATACATACATACATACATACATACATGTGCATGTGAATCCACGTGATGGATATGGGTTAGAGATATATAGAAAATGTGGTGTCTATGATTCGGCGTTATATCAAATAGGTGACAACAATTATATTATCCATTTATTTATTATTTTTTGTTATTGTTATTCCACAATTATGAAAGCTTTTTATTTTAATTTATTTTCCTTCGCATGACATAACTCCACCCAGATTCCTTATACGAATCTAAATTATATATACCACATGAATATATAACCAACGTTTCACACACACACACACATATATATAATATCTTTGACTCACTGTTCACATTTCACCAGAAATTGGCTCAATTATTTTTCTTGTAATTCGTAACTAATGTGATCAAAAGTAGGTTTACAAATTTTTTTTATCAGAATATTTTATCAAATTTTTAACTATATTTTAAAAATTAATATTCATATATATTTTTTCCCTTGAATTCGGTGATGGCATCATGACCACTGAAAGGAAATGGACATTTGGTAGACCCAAAAGAAAAAGAAAAAGAAATTCTCATCAGTTTCACTAAAACTTTCAAACTAAACCAACAACCAATTGTATTTACATCTCAAGCAATACAAATTGATAAACAAAAAATTAAAATGAAGCAAAGCAAAATATTTTTTTTTTTTGTAAATGTAGATTTAGGGTTAGACTAGAAACAATGATGATTAATTAAAATTTTAATTATTGGAAAGGTGGAGCTGATTTGCGACTTTCAACTATAAGGAACTCGTCGGGCCTTTGAATAGACCCCTCGCCTAAAAATATACATCCTCAATTAGTGTTTTTTTTTTTTTAAATTGTATAAATCTTGAGTTCTTTACAGATTTTTATGAAATATACTATGTATATTTTAAAAACAACAATCCAAGTTACATGTTTACATTTCCAACAGCAAAAATTTCAAAATACATGCGTGGATTGAACTTTTAAATTTTTGAGTAGCACATATTTATGTAATCTTATTGAATATGCTTTTTGGTAAGAAAACTTGAAAATAAAGGGAGACATGAAATCTTTTGTCTTTTTAACGTGAGGCCGTTTTCATACCCATTTAAAAAAAAAAACAACTTCGACCGGTTTACTTAAAAATATTATTTTTATGTCGTTTTTATGAGTTGGTAAGAACAAGGAAATATATAATTAATATATTCAAATAGATGGGGCGGGCATTGGAATAAAAGGATGTGACACAAAAAGCCCCACACTCAACCAATGATATTTATATTTATAATAAAAATAAGAGAAACGTTGTTTATGAACATTTTATGAAATTCGCAAAACCAAAATTAAAAAAACAAACAAAAAGAATTATCAAGATCTCAATTGGAGCAATGAGCCCCCCAAGAATCAGCAAACAGCTAGAGAGAAAAAAAAAAGAACAAGGAATAGAAGACAAAGGTGGACACCGTGGAAACTATCAATGAAATTGAAATTGGACCCAATAGTTTGAAAATGATCAATTTAGGCCCCGGGATCAGCCAGTAGGCGAACGTGAAACCTCCTCGATGAGCCTGGTAGCCTCATCCATGGACGGACGTTTGTCGGGATACTGAGCCGTGCAGCTGATACCGATCTTCAATAATCGGATCATGTTCTCGTTGCCATTGCCCTCTGGTTCATAACGTGTGAGCTCAGGATCAAACACATCAGAAGGAGATTGTTGCTCGGCCACAGCCTGAACCCATCTCGGCAAGTCTACGCCTTCTTCGTTTAACTGCTGCTGGGTCGGTGACTTGCCTGAAAATTCACTCCAGATCAACGCCCGGATCTATATATATTACATTTGGAGACTCTTTGGTTCAAAAAAAAAAAGATTCAAAATTTTCGGGTTGTAACCTGTGAGCAACTCCAGGAGGAGGACACCAAAGCTGTAGACATCAGCTTTCTGGGAGATTTTGCGAGCGTCAGTGACTTCAGGGGCACGATAGCCATCGATACGGTTCGGAGTGGAGGTTGGAGTGATGAGAGGGGCTAGACAGTAGTCAGAGACCTTAGCCTCGTAAGATTCGGACAATAGTATGTTTGATGACTTGATGTTCCCGTGGGAGGTGGTGGTGTCGAGGGAATGGATGTAGCTTATGGCTCTGGCTGTTCCTAGGGCTATTCCTGCTCTTGTTTCCCAATTTAGTGGAGACCTTCCTCCTCCTTTGTTTCCTGTAAGCAAAATGTATATAGATGGTCTTAAAACTGATACAGCCATTAGAGAACTCGAACTCGAGCTCAAACCTTACTGGATCAATACTGTCGGATAGGACTAAATACCCTCATTGCCAAAAACCAGTAGCAAGCAAGCAAGATCATGATGAGAGGTGTGACAAGTACTAATGATCAATACCCTTTGCGAAATATCTTCACTAAACTAAAGATTGAATCAAACAGTAAACGTATTGGCACAATTCAGTTATGGGTTCGGTGTAAATCAAGAAAAGATTGAAACTTTTTTTTTTTTGGGAGGGGGGACTTCTTACCGTGCAAAAGAGCGGACAAGCTTCCTCTGGGCATGAACTCATACACAAGAAGCTTTTCGTCAGGGCTGAAATAGTAAGCAAGAAATGTCACCAGATTCACATGGCTTAACGATCCCAAAAACTGCAATCTCTCCCTGAACTCTTTCTCCGGCACGACCACGTCCCTTAATCGTTTGACAGCCACCACTAATCCATGGTCGAAGCTTGCCTTGTACGAAGAACCAAATGTACCTTTCCCCAACACCTCGGCCGATGCCTTCAACAATCCGTCGAGATCGAATTCCCCATAGGATTTCACGAAGAACACCAGATCTTTACTCACCGCAGAGCTCGCCCGCTCCGGCTCCGCAGCCTTCGCTGGCGGTGGGACATCAGCCACAGTCTGCTTCGCCGCCGCAGCCGCCGAAGTTGCGACAGGAGGTTCGACGCTTCTTGGTTCGATGTTCTCCTCTTTCTTTCTCTTTCTGCAGAGAAGGAACAGAATCAGCAGAATCAACAACAATCCGAAAACGCAGGCGATCACTATTCCAGCGATTGTTCCGCCAGACAGTTTGTCGCTTTTTCGCGCCGGCGACTCGGTGTTGTTGTTGCCACCGCCGCCGCTGCCGCAAGGGTCCAAGGGCTTGCCACAGAGTAAGTTTCCTTCGAAAGCGTTTCTGGGCATGCCCGATAATCGATTTGGAATCGACCCGTTTAGTTGATTGAACGACACGTTGAATTGCTGAAGCGGGATCGTAATCTCCGGGATGGGACCCGTCAGCTGGTTTCCCTCCAAGTAAAGAGTAGCCAGCCGGGTCGCCGAGTTCACGTTGTCGGGGATCCGACCCGAGAAGTTGTTCTGAGCCAAGTTGATCCGGATCAGGTTCGGGAGAGTGAAGAGGAACGTCGGAATCTCGCCGGAAAATGCATTCCCAGGAAGGTACAAGTATCGGAGAAGCGTAAGGTTGGCGAAATCCGGAGGGATTGGACCCGTGAGCGCGTTGAAACGAATGGAGAGTGTCCGAAGCTGTGTGAGGTTGCCAATGGCGATGGGTAACGGACCCGCCATGCCCACACCGGGCAATCGGAGCTCCGTGACCCGATCACCATCGCAGTGGACCCCACCCCAAGTGCATGTAGGCGCGGAGATGTTCCAGAGAAGTGGTCGGCCATGGACACCATTGCGGAGGGCGACTAGAGCGCGACGGTCGGATTCCAGATCTGAAGTAACCGTCGTGAGACAGAGCAAGAAGACGGCGGCGAGAGCTCCGGCAACCGGAAGTTTAGGTTTGAGTTTCATCTTCTACGTCGAGCAGTGACTGTCGTTTTTTTTTTCTTTTTTCTCGAGAAAGATTGGGAAAATGGGTATCCGAGGAATTCTCGGAAATCTTTGCACTTTTCGGCGACGCGCAGAACAGTGTTTGGGTAGAGAGAAAGAGAGAGAAAATCGCAGGAGGAGGCAGGAGAGAGAAGAAGAGAGAGAGACTATAAATGCACAAACGAAGAAAGTTACTTGTCGAATTTTTCCTTTATTACAAAAAAAATTCTTAGTATTAACTGCCGGTTACAGACACAAAAGATTAGATGCAGATGGTGTTTCCAATTTTATAGTATTATATTCAGAATTATTGGACCGTTGTGCTTTAATAGGTTTTGACTCGGTGGTTTAGGTTCACAAATTGTGGATCAGATGCATAATTATTTACTTACATCATTAAACTTTTTAAATGAATTTAAAAAAACACTGAATTTTGTAAGTGATCCAAAAAATACATGAATTTTTCTCCGATTACCAAAAAAACAATAAATTTTTTTAGTGATCCAAAAAAATACATGAACTTTTTTCGATTGTAAAAAAAAACTAAGAAAAATAATCTGACGTGTTTGCATCTGATTGTGCCACGTCAGTCATTTTATTTATTTTGACAATCGTTGAAGAGTTAAGTGTTTATTTTGTCAAACTTAAAAAGTTTAATGTTTATTTGATAAAAAATAAAATTCAATATTTTTTTTGTTAAAATTGAAAAATTCAGTGTTTTTTTTGGGATTTTCCCTTAGAAAAAGCATGGAATAAATCTTTCATCTGAATAATAGCACAACGTGGAATAATTTACTTACATCATTAGAAAAAAAAAATATTCACATGAATAGAAATAAAAAAATCTATGTGTATATTCAATGAAAACACAAAATATATAGTAATGCCAATGATTACAAGGCAAAAATTGCAATCTTAGTTTTATGGTTATTAAATTTAGAAACATAAATGGTCGGTCACAATTACAAAATAAGACAATTAGTACTTACCTTCTTGAACATTGTAAAGCCCAATTACAAAATTTCTATATCCAAAATCCAAAATTTTCACTAGTCCAATATCCCTCAGAGCCCATTTCTTTTGAACGCGTCATTAAGATATTATTAAAAAAAATCAAATCTGGATAAAATATAAAAATAATAGAAAAGTCAAAAAATTTATTTAAAAATGAAATATTTTATCATTGGAAACCGAAAGAAATCGAAAACCGAACAAATATAAACATTCTAAAACCAAAAGAGTCGAATCCAAATAAAACCGAACCAAACCCGAAATATCCAAACCAAGTCATACCACCTCTCCGATATTCCCTCTCCAACTTTAGACCATGAAGAAGGCAACAAGGATGGATTACTACGATTCTGCATATACTTCTCGCAGTAATCTCCCAGATTATTACAATTCTCAGACACAACAACTGAGGTAACTACTTCAGTTTCTACTCGGTCTGAACACTGTGTTTATCCAAATAGGACATCGCCATTTCAGCGTGGAAGGCAGCTCCAACGGGGAGAGCTTCCTCGTCGACGAAGAAGTAGGGCGAGTGCAGTGACTTGCCGGACCCGAGAGTCTCGTTCTTTATCCCGACGACGAATATAACTGCCGATGTTTTCTGAGTGAAGAAGCTGAAATCTTCTCCGCCCATCGTCACCTTAAAATCGTGGAAGTTCTTCTCCCCAACCAAGGCTTCCGCCACTTCCTTCCCGTGCTCGTATAATCCCTCGTCGTTCATCATAACCGGGTGGAGAGATGGCATTTTTTCCTCGAAATCTACCTCTGCTCTGCATTGATGGACCGATGCTTGTGCCTCCACGATCTGTTCGCACATATTACACATAAAACCTCAATCAAAGAAGGTGTACTTGCAGGCCATTCCTCTACAAGATGGTGCTGTTCCTAAGGCCAATTCTTTTTACCTCTTTGATTCGTTTCTGGATGTGTAAAAGGCCCTCGTTGCTCAAGCTTCGATAGGTTCCCCCGAATTTAGCCGTTTCTGGAATTACGTTCTGAGCATGACCTCCTTCAATGTAGCCAACTGTTACCACCTGAATATTTTCATACGATACAGAATTCATCAACGGCATACATGTCTTGGAAAAAAAAATCAGACTTACCCCTGATTCAAGAGGATCCATTTCGCGAGAAACTATCTGTTGAAGAGCAACTACAGAGGAGGAAGCTGCCAGAATAGGGTCCTTGGCTAAGTGCGGAGTAGCTGCATGACCCCCTTGTCCTTGAATTCTGACGGTAAATAGCCCGGCACCTGCAAGAATTCGGCCCGGCCTGGAGCCAATACCACCGCTTGGAAGTGTCGGCAAGACGTGTATGCTGAGAATCCCATCCAAGTCATCCAAAATCCCATCTTGTAGCATGTGGTAGGCACCAGCATACCCTTCTTCGCCCGGTTGGAACACCAGTTTCACAGTTCCCTTTTCAGACCAAAAGACACAAACTTGATCCAACCCAGATCGCCATTATCGTATAAATCAACTCGTTTGATCTGGTTTAATTTCTATACCTTAAGTTGGTGTCTTCTGCTCTGAAGTAGCTTAGCTGCTCCGAGAAGCATAGCCACGTGAGTATCGTGACCACAAGCGTGCATTTTCCCATCGATTTTGCTCTTCGATCCCCATTCCACAAGTTCCTGTCATATCATAAAAGCCCAATCTCTCTGTAAGATTCTTCTTTGAGTTATCTGTAAACGAACACTTGAATGCAACAAGACAACACCTGCAACTCAATTTCCTTTATTCTTTTTCGATCTTTAATCACAAAAATGTTTCCAGATTTCTGGGTTTTCTTCGTAAGATTTCGAGATCTTTTTTTGTGAATTCAACTTTTGATCGAAATGTTACATGGTCCATATTTCACTGTAGGCATGGTCCCCAGATTTTGACAAGACCGGAAAATCAAACAGTTTTAGATTTTCTCTGTCTGGGAATTGAGTGACGCTACAGCAACTGTGGGATGTGAAACACTCCGTCCAAACAAAAGAAACAGAGCCTAAGCAAAAAGACCTGTAACGGGAGGGCGTCCATGTCGGCCCTGAGCCCGAAGACGGGTTTAGACCCGGATCCGATCCAAGCCACGACGCCGGTTTTCGCCACCGGCCACTTGTATTTAACTCCGAGCGAGTCAAGCTCGTCTCGGACGAGTTGGCTCGTCTTGAATTCCTCAAACCCTAATTCGGGATTCTCATGGATTCTCCTCCTCAGCCCTCTCATCCACTCGAAGAACTCGGGTTCCTTTGCGGATTCCAGCAACCCGCCGGCCAGCGACGCATGACCCGACCCGGAACCCGGATCACCGCCCCGAGTTGAATACCAAGGGACGGAGCAAATGAAGAAGAAGATGAAGAAGGAGATCGTTGACGTCTTCATGATTTCTCAGAAAGTTGCAATCTTTCTGGGCTTCGCTTTTTGTGTGCAAGGAGTACACACAAAGTGGCTTGATCTTGATAACGACGCACATTTTAAATAATATATTTATATTATTCGTCGTATTTCTGTTACAGCTATAAAAAAAAAAGTTGGATATTTATATGCAAAAAATTATAAAAGAGGTAAAAGTTTGGATCTTTATTTTGTTAGCACATTAGAGTAATTGGATTTGACTTCGCAATTAGTATCAAAGAGAGAGGGGAGAGGTGAAAGCCCAGATAGACCCACTACAGGCCCACTAAAGGCCCATTAAAGAAGAAAGACAATGCTCATCAATTCTTTCTTTCTTTCTTTTTTTGTTAATCTGTTTTGAAGTTTCTTTTCTTACAGGTCGAGTTCAATCCCATGCTCTAGGGTTCTGTGGGAGATTAGGTTTCGCCTTCCCCCCTCCCCTTTTTTTGGTGGATATTTCGTGTTTTCTGGGTTTCGTCTTCATCGATCTGAAGGAAAGGATAATGGATGCTAAAGCGATGAAGAAGGCGCTGTTTCGTTCTAAACTCAATGCGAAGAAGAAAGATACGCGCATAGATTCTCCGCTTGTTAGGTAAACTGTTTCTGATTTCTTCGTTTCGATTTCTGCGGTTCAATTTTGTTTGCAATCGCAGAGTCCAAGACAGAGAGTGATTATCGAGTTTCGATTCCGATGCGCATAGATTCTACCAATTATTTGAAACCTTTCTTTTCAAGTTCTATGATATGGGCTCTTATCACATCCGTCGAAGTCGTTTAGATGTTTTAGCAATAATTCGGAACAGTTGACTTGTGTAAGTAAGGTTTATTACAACCGACCAGCTATCATGGAGTTCATTGGTTAGAGCTGGTTTTGGGAAGTAGTTGCAGTTGATTACATGTAGTGATCAAGATTGTGTTCTTGGACTTGCAGGTACAATGAATCTGATCAGCCTGTGTGTCGGGTATGCAATGTTGTGTTGAAGTCTGAATCCTATTGGGATGCCCACCAAGCTTCTCGTAAACACCATGAGGTAATTCAAATGCTGATTATTATACTTTTCTGATGGATTTGAGAGGGGGAAATTGTGATGTTTAATGCGATATTGCAATATCATGTCTCTGAACTTGTAGCCTATGGGGATCTAGTGATTAAGTTGAATGCCCTAGGGGTATCTTTGCTAGTGTCTCGGCCTTAAATTACCTCTGATCGATCTTTTCTGGAGCAATTGCTGCTTATTTATAATGTGATTGTAGAGTAGAAACTACTTTACTGATGTTTCTAGGCTCAAAACACAAAATGTATGTATGTGGGTAGCTTTTGACATATTGGTGGTGTCATCCATGAAGGATTGGTCTTTGGAGTTAGATTTGGTGGGATGTGGTTCATGAAAATAGATATCTTGTCTTTGTTTGGCTATTGTAGGAACATGTATTGTTGGGCTCTTAAGTCTGTTTCCGTTCCTTGATCTGAATATCTGACCCCTGATAATGACTCTCTGGACAGGCAATCAGTGTTTTAAAGGCTAGTGCAGCTGGAACTCAACGGGTTAGCAACACGAGGTCTGAATCTTCGATAGGTACTGAAAATGCCGATTCTGGGAAAAGAAATTTCGATACTTCAGAAAAAGCGTCTAAACCTCTGGCTTCTTCTGGGCTTCCTCCAAATTTCTTCGAAAATCCTGAGTCTGTGACTAAAAAGGCTGGTAAGAACATTTGTTGGTAGCTGCCATCTTGCCTGAAGTAATAAATACTGTTGTCCTATGCTTTTGATATTTTTGAATGGTAATTTAACTAAGTTTCCTGGACTGTATGTAAAAACTTGCAGTAGAAGTTGAACCTGGCCATGAAACAGCTACCAAGTCAAAGCAGACTGCAAGTTCAGAAACCAAGCACGCCAAAGGGTCTCTTCCTGAAGGATTCTTTGATAAAAAGATGAGTGATTTAAGTTCTTCAAGTGCCAAAACCACTAGTGAAGCTAAACAGACTACTGCCTCAGAAATGAAACCAGTGGTAAAGGGAGCCCTTCCAGCGGGATTTTTTGATAACAAAGAAGCTGACTTGCTTGCTCGTGGAATAAAGCCTGTCAAACCCGATATCAAGTGAGTTCCTTACACTTTTATGCTCTTTGGTTATATCAGTTCTCCTAAGAATCTCAGATCTAGACCCCTTGGATCATTTTATGAACCTTAATAACGTGGAATCATTTGCAGAGATGAATATAAAGAATTTGAGAAGTTGATCCAAGAAGATTTACAGGTTGTCGATAACCGCATGGAAGAAGAGGAGGTTGGTTTCTTGTGCTACTATAATGTCAGTTGTTCTTGTAATGCATTTTTACTTACCATCCTTTCAACGCCGAGTTGCATTGCAGGTTGATGCGGCTGAGATGATAGAAGAGGAGGAACAACTGGAGCAAAGGTGATTGTTTTCATTACTTCTGAATTGTTGAATTGATTTTATTGTTTCGGGATTCTTGATCGATGCATGTTTTTGGCAAGAACGTTATCGAAGCACCATAAATGGCAAACGTCATTGTGATACTTGAGCATACCATCATGTTGTTAGGATGTCATGTTTGCCACAAAGGATCAAATATCGAGAAACATAAAACGGGCATGATTATGTAATGCAGGTCCTACAAGGAGAGGGTAGAAATTTTGAAAAGAAAGAGAATGGAACTAAAAGCCGCGAGATTAGCCAAACGCAGTAAAATTCCCGAGGCATCCGTCAAAGCGGCCAAGGCCGAAGAATCATCATCATCCAGTGACGATGAAGAGGACGAGAATCTCACCGTTGATTGGAGAGCTCAACACCTTTAGATCATGCCCCGTAACTTTCCCCGGTAGCCGATTCTCAGTTCTTTTAAGATTTAGAAATATGGTATTTGATGGAACTTATACGGATATATATGATACGTAACATGAAGGACTCAACATCAGAGATGCAGAAAGCTGTGGATTTTTAGCAGCAGAGAGATGTTCAAACCAGAAAGCCAAGGCAGATTCAGTTTGTTTTTACACTTTTGTTCTTCTTCTGCCAATTTTGACATGTTTTATACAGCTTCTTACGTGTAGAACTTCAAAACCGTGGTTACAAATTTGTTTCCTCGCAAAGGAAGAAGACTTGGCATCTCTTTTGTATATAAAGTTACAAATTTGGGTCAGTGGGTTAGGATTGATTTAATACATCTAATTAATTTATATTTTCAAACCCAACTTAGATAATTCAATCGGTAAAGGGAGTTTAATTTCAATCTCATAATTTGTTTCTAATCCTACGATTAGTTTTATCTCAGTCTAAAAAAAAATTATATTCCCACAAAAAAAAATATATAATACATATTGCAATTTACATTAGAATGACCTTTTCACATACTTAAGGCGCATGGATGAATCAGAGTCCACGCACTTCATCCCAACCTCGTTCCTAAGAAGATTCAATCTCTTGAGCAACTCGCTCACCTTCTCTCTCGTCTCACCTTCACACCCAACCTGCAGAACCACGAGAAGCTTCTCAAAGGCCCCGACCTGAAGAGCTTCCACCAAAACACTTTCCTCTTTCTTCCCCAGCTTCCACAGAATCGAGATCGAACACATCGTTGCCAAATCCGATACCCGGAGAATCTTCTTCACCAGAAGAGGAACGATCAAGTCGTTCCTCAGAATTGCCTCTCTTCCTTGTTCATCATTGCATATGGCGTCGAGAACAACTAGAGCTCTCTCGCTAATGCCCTTCTCCGTGTTCAGAACCATTTCTGTGATCGACGAGACCAGACCCATCTGGACGAATCTCGAAACTGTCTGGTCGTTAGTTGTCGCCATGTGATAAATCACCATTAGAGAAGATTTTGTGGAGTTGGGGCTAGTTGGGTTTTGGATAAGGTTGACAAGTCCTTCGCTTGCTCCTTCTATGTCCGTAAGTGTACGGGCGTAACTTGTGTCCGAAGAAACAACCTCCCTGAGCAAAAAGGCTGCGTTTTGTCTCGCCGAGGGATCCGAGCTGTTCAAGAAATGTACGATGCAACGTAGAGAGGATGCAGTTCCCATGATCTTGGAGAGACCCTCTGATCGGACCAGAAGCGGCCACGCGAGAACCGATATGACTTCCTCCAACAGAGCCATGTGTCTCTCACGCGCCGCCGATGAGAACCTCTCGAAACAAGAAGACAGGACTGAAACGACGCCGTTCTGAGCCAAGCATTTCTTGTTCCTCTCGCTCTCCCTGCCCAGATTCTTGATCTTACCAACGATCTCCAAACACTTCGCATTGTCTTGACGGACGACAGCTTCCATTAATTTCTTGCAAATCTCCGACACTTCTCGAGGAGTCAACGGGACACGTGGCGTTGGGATGCGCTCGATTCCGTACGAACGGTGATCCACGCACCATTCTTGGATCATCTTACGCATCGTGTGGTTCGGGATCAGTACGGTTCGGTTGGTGTGATCGAGGGTTCGGTTCGTCACGGGACATGAGTCTTTGCCTGACTCGAACCAGCTCTCGATGCTGTTCCGGTCGTACGTTATTCCGGTTGATAGAGTCACCGGATCTTTCATAAGATCTAGTGAAATGGGACACCGGAAATCCGCCGGAATCTTTATTTCCCCGCCGGAGATTTCTAGTTTCTTGCCTTGGCGTCTCTTCCTCTCGTGTCTTCTCCACGGTAACACCATGTCTTCAAATAAACCCCACAACAGCTAGCGAAATATTCGACAGAGACGATGTTAATGTCGAAGAGAGAAGGCGATATATTAACCTGAATTCGATGAAGCACACACTTGTTTATATATATACACACACAGACGCATGTATATATGCAAAGGGAATTTTCATGTACGTGTTTAGCATGGTGTTTACGTGTTCATATATATACACGCTTATATGGCTGAACGAGTCAGGGTCAAAGGTTTGGGGGAAAATTGAAATAGCTGAGAGTGAGAAAGGTATGAAATGGAGCGCCTTGATTTTCTTTCTTTTTTTTGGTCCGGTTTGGAAAGTTGACCGTTGACCGTTTGGATATTTGGGAGTCCAAGTTTATGACCTTCAAATACCCAAAGTTTGATTTAATTTAATTAGTTTATGACACCTTAAGTAATTAAAGGGATCTAGAAAGTTAATTAGTAATTAAATATAATAAAAGCAATCGTATAGCTTGATTACCGTACATGACACGTTTAGTTTAGTTATCTTAATTTGTCGTCTGAATCCTATAAATATTTGGTTTTATAAATTAATATTGTTAAAAAAAAAAACACGCAATCGGTCGTAGTACGGAATGAGAAATCAGACAAACATGTACGCAGATTATAAACGGAGTTGTATTATTTGTCGAGAAGTGGACCAGACCAGACCAGTTGACTTGGTCTCCGTTCCTACGGGGTTTTCATACGATTTTAATTATAATATTTTTCATTCTCAAAATATATAAATATATGATTATAGAGCTTTTTGTTTTGTTATTGGGTTTTTAGCCCAACATATAATTATTAAGTGGGCTTAAGCCATTACACTTTTGGGCTTTATACTTCCTGAGCCCAATTCACGTTCACGTACTAATAATTCGTGCCACGAGGCAAAAAAGAAAAGAATATATTCGTAATTTTACCTTGTCTTGTAATAGCAATAACGGAAATAATTAATATATATATTTAGTAAAATATCCAGGTTTATTTGGCAGCCTATACATATAGAGGTTTTTCATTAAAAAAATATTATTTTATGTAAAAGAGTTTCTTTCATTTCGATCATAATTATCTCATCTATATATACACACACATAATGAATAAAAAAGGTGGTTCCTAAAATTGTTAAAAATTAAAATTTCTCAGGATAATTTAGAAGTAAATATCAAGAAGCATTTGGATGATTAGTGGTACAGTTTCGGAATATGTAAAATCATGCAGGGTAATTAAGCAAAAGTGTCCCCAAACCCTAAAAGTATTAATTAGCTTTATGAAATTAATGAGATAGGGTTTGAACGAGAGAGAGGGAGAGAGAGACCTAGTTAATGTCCCTGCATTGCATGCATGCATGCATGCAAATACCATATGACCATGAAATGCAGCTTTATAGTATACCTAGCTTTGTTTCTTCTCTCTTGACTTTTGATTTCTTTAATTTGTTGTTACATATATTCCGGACAAAATAAATAAAAAAAAAATTGGACTTTGAAAGCAGAGAGAAAGAACTTTGGAAAAAAGCACTTTTTTTGAAAATATCTATTCCTTGTGGGTGGATTTTACTTTTAACAGCTTTAGAAAATAACTTTTAGGTGTAAAAAGATAAATTAACATTTTATACGAATTTATTTATTAGTAAATAAAAAATAAAAATAAAAGATAGGGGTCAATCATAAAGCAATCGATTACAAAATCATTTCCTTACATCTCACATCAGAGACTATCTTTTCTGCAAATGCCAGAAAAGTTCTGTTCTCTTCTGTCCCTTCGCATTTATCTCTCTCTTTTCAAATAAATGGCCCTTTTCCCCTGTGCTAACCACACCACCACCACTCTCTCTCTCTCTCTATACATACACACATACACATATATATACACATATATACACATGCGTACATACATACACTATTGAAATGATCGAAAATGTGATAATTTTTTTTTTACTAATATCAGATTTTTAAAATATTAAATTGATAGTCACATGTTATGAATTATTTTATAGTTCACACTCAAGATATCCTGACTCACATTTATAAATTAAAGAAAAAAAAAGGGTGTGATTTATAAAGAATTAAATAAAAATGTGGAAGAAAAAGAAAGCGTCATGGCTTGGCTTGTGGGCAGAGTTGTAGGTTAATGAGACAACTACAAGACCTCCATCTCCAATCTTAGGTCTTGTTCCATCTCCCACACGGTACAATCTCCCAATTCCGTAGGGTCCCCCATTCGTTTTTCATTAAATTCAGATCATATATATATTGATAATAGAAAGCATTGTTATACATATATATATATATATATAATGTTTTATACCATAAAAAATACCAAATTTTGGAGTGAGGATATATAATACCAAAAAAAACTTCAAAATTGTCGATAAGTGATGTTTTGTTTTTTTTTAATTGGAATTTCAATCAAATGTTGAGGGACTATGAAATGATTTAATTCACAACACTAGAAATTTTGTTATTGGCATGTCTGAAAGGCGTAGGTCCATATGACCCTATATATATATATATATAGCATGAAATTATCATTTTTATGTTTGATCGTATGCAGTGACCATGATACGAGATACACTCGGTGGCTTTATTTCATGGGCATATATATATATATATATATATATATGGACGATATACAAAAATTATATATACTTATATGAGAAAAAAAAACTAAAGCAAAAAAGATGCTTATATCACAAGAAAGCACTTTTCCCATGACGCTCTTAATCATGGTGGATCGTGTTTG